TAATCCTACATTTCATTGCAGTGAAAAACTTCTGAGTCATCAATATATATGTTTCAAAGCACCATCCTTATTTTATTTGGTGTTTCTAAAATATTTTGGAAACTTGAAGTAACATGGTTACTAGAGCTTATAAACAAAAAAGAAAATGGTAGACATTTGATTGGTTAACTTACAGTGATGGTTATTATTTTATAGGCAATGAAAAGTTATGTGAAATTTTGTCTGCAGTACTGAATAGGATAAAACTTTACTCATGCTAAGTATTTCTTTATTTGAAACAAAGATAAATTCTGCACAATTTTTTGAAAAGTGCAAATTTAACAAAGAATAATAGGGGAAGGTAAATGGTAGTATTACACCTAAAGACATCTAACAATTAATATCGCATTTGTTTACATATGATTTATGAAGCCCAATGCATAAAAAACAACAACATTGAAATATTTTAGAAGTTACAAGGAAAACAAACAATCATTATATAGAGATAAACTTTAGACTTTATCAATTAAATTAACACATCAATTGCTTATGTATCATGCTTTCATTCTACATTGTGTACGCACGTATCACAGTATACTTATCTGTTTTGTAAATAACACTTACTGGCGGCTGAAAAAATAACATTAATACAAGTTTAATATCTGGAAAAAATATGTTAAGCTACTCACAATACAAAACATCACAATCTCAAAAACATCAATGCATAAAATAGAGTATATATATTGTTGTAAAAGAAGTGCAGATGTCTGTCTAGTTAAATTAATCATATCAACACAGACCTCGGAAAGGATAGTATGTGTAAAGGAAGAGTATAAGGTATGCTCGAGTTTTAAAGTTGTTTCCTGATTTTAGAGAAATTAAGTCATTTAAAGTCGTCGTTACATTTGATTTGATATGCTTGTTGAAGCTTACATAATTCAGTACTTCAATAACTAAATAATTACATTTGTTTATTAGTTGTTAGCAAGTTGTAAGCTTGATACTTAGATATAGCAAATTGAATAATGATAAAAAAGAGTAAATTTTATTTTAGTAACTTTCCTCTTCCAAAATCACTCAATGCGAACAATATCTAGATTGAAAAATATTAAACTGATGCTCAAATTTCATTAATTCAATAAGGAGAGGCAAACTTTAGACTTTATCAATTAAAATAACACATCAATTGCTTATGTATCATGCTTTCATTCCACATTTTGTACGCACGTATCACAGTATACTTATCTGTTTTGTAAATAACACTTACTTCCTGAAAAATAATAGTAATACAAGTTTAATATCTGGAAAAAATATGTTAAGCTACTCACGATACAAAACATCATAATATCAAAAACATCAAATGCATACAATTTATAAAATATAGTAAAAATATTGTTGTAAAAGAAGTGCAGATGTCTGTCCAGTTAAATTGATCATATCAACGCAGAACTCAGAAAGGGTAGTATGTGTTCAGGAACACTATAAGGTATGCTCGATTTTTATAGTTGTAAACTGATTTCAGAGAAATTAAGCCATTTAAAGTCGTCGTTACATTTGATTTGATATGCTTGTTGAAGCTTACAGAATTTTGTACTTCAATATCTAAATAATTACATTTGTTTAATAGTTGTTAGCAAGTTGTAAGCTTGATACTTAGAGATAGCAAATTGAATTGTGATAAAACAGAGTAAATTTCGTTTTAGTAATTTCCACTTTCAAAATCACTCAATGTGAACAATATCTAGATTGAAACATATTTAACTGATGCTCAAATTTCATTAATTCAATAAGGAGAGGCAAATCAAGCAAAAAACACAACTCGGGAATTCGCATGATCTCCAACAGGAGCTAGTCGGCGTGCGTCAATGGGACAAATGATACCTGACATGCATGCATCACTTGCAATGCCAGTCCATACTTAGTCAAAACGTCACTATCGGGAATACGACACAATCGGTAAATGTAAAGACCAGACAACTGTTCTTATATACAAAGCTCTAAGACAACCAAAATATGTCGTTAGTTAGTTTAGAACCATCGTGATTGTAACTGTGAACTTCTGTAATGTCGAATCAGTATGTTAGTGCTGAGAAATTGAAAGTTGAAATTGTTTGTCACAGATTCTAGATTGTGTCAATTTTGAAAAATAAAATCAAGATATAAAGCAGATCTGCTACTTTCGGTAAATGAGGTGTAAGCACTCGCAGAAATGTGGGTTATTGAATTACAAAACATCGTCGATATTTCCGATTGTGGAATGAAAGAACTTTGCAAGGTGTTTTTTATCATTGTCTTTTTAGATGATTTTGAAAATAAAGTTATGCCTAAGGTGCTTATAGTTGGATTAGACATACACAGCAAGAGGTGCAAATCCTGCAATGTTCTCCTGTGTTTTACAAAGACATGTGACATTTAAGCAAAACAACGGAATGACCGTAGTTATTTTATTTTCCTAAGTTTTGTGCTCGAGCACCATCTGATATACAAACAAAGAGATGTCATATGATTGCCAATAAAAACAAACTATTTAAATGACGTGGATAAAAAATATAGGTCGCTGTAAGGCCTTTAACAATGATAAAACCTATTCCCCATAGCCAGTTATACAATGAATATTCAACTTGTAAAACCAGGTTTATACGTGTGCAACACATCTCACAATTTTACTTTTTTCACGAACTTTATGATTGCTTCATTAGATATGTGGGTTTTTTTATTCATATAAAAAGCAAGGATTGTTTTGTTATTGAATAATACCAGCCGAGAGATTAAAAACAAAAAGTTAGTTAAAAACGCTTTTTGTCAATTATTTTTTTGGCAAACAAATGCTAAAAAAATTTAGAAACAAAAGCGGACAACTTAAACTTGAACTCATGATCCATCCCTAATAAAATAAAATAAAACAACGTTACCTAGTTCATTTATATGATTTTTAGGTTAAAAACAACTATATATTTGGTTTTTTTCACGGTTTGATTGAGAAGAAAAAGTTTGATTTAGAAGAAAAACCATGGTTATGAAATACAAATAATTACACCATAGCTAACACAATTCTATATTAATATTCTTGTAATGGTTAGAAAATACATCAAATAACACCATTACAAACTTAATACCAATTTCATATTGTATTTTTAGAAATTTAACTGTGACGTCACTTTTTGTGGCGTTGACACTTCAGTGTGAAGCACAGTTCATTATTCTATTGTGCTGTATTTGTGTTCTGTCGTAAATAAATTTTAGGTGTTCGTTGTTATTCTGTGGTTTACATGATGAAATGGACTATTATATTATTATTTATGTATTTTTCTGTCCTGAATGTTCTTGCATTTATTTGTACTTTATTCCTGTCACTTGTCATTTTAGCGGATTTCTTAACATTACTTTATAAGCGGGATGTTTAGCTAGCCATAAAACCAGGTTCAACCCACCATTTTTTCTTAAAATTTCCTGTACCAAGTCACATAGATATAAGAAGATGTGGTATGAGTGCCAATGAGACAACTCTCCATCCAAGTGAAAATTTATAAAAGTAAACTATTATAGGTCACAGTACGGTCTTCAACACGGAGCCTTGGCTCACACCGAACAGTAAGCTATAAAGGGCCCCAACAAATTACTAGTGTAAAACCATTCAAACGGGAAAACCAACGGTCTAATCTATATAAAAAACGAGAAACGAGAAACACTTACGAACCACACCAACAAGCGACAACTTCTGAACATCAGATTCCTGACTTAGAACAGGTGCACATAGTCCGTTTTTATGTATGTTGGCGTTTGTTTTTATAGCAGTTCAAAGTTTCTGTTGTTTTTTTTTTTCCTCTTATAGTCGATGTGTTTCCCTGACTTTTGGTTTGTGATCCGGATTTGTTTTCGCTTAATCGATTTATGACTATTAAACAGCGGTATACTACTATTGCCTTTATTTACGGTAAACTTGGACTTCACTAGTGTAATTATTTCCCTTGATTGTTCCTTTTTTGTAGAATTAAAATATTGATACAGGTGAAGAGGAAACATTTGATATATATGTATGTATTATTGCAAATGTTAAGACGACACATGACAATTTAGAATATTGATAATGTTCCAAACAAGGCAACACTGCGTTTTGTTTAAAATTTCATATCAAGTATTTCTGAATGTATTGCAGACATGTTGACGACATGATGAAAAACAACATCGGTCTGACAATTAAATTGGAAAACGTATAACATGCGGTTTATATCGACTTATTCAGATGCGATCCTAGTTTTCTTGTTCATTACCAGTATACTAGATGTCAATTCTTCATTTTTTTTAAAAGACATTTTATACAAGATACAAGGGGGCACTGGAAAATGCAACAAAAACAAACAACACCTTTTAAAAAAAATATACGATAAAACGACAAACAACAATAACAAAACTATACAAAGAAAACTAAGACCTAGCATCCGTCTTGTTGGTCCATTGTAAGTCTTTTGTGGTAAAATAGGAAATATTGTTGTTATGACAAGTGGAACATATTCAGAGTTATATGGAATACAAATATTTCAAACATGTCAACCAAACTATGATCGCGTCCACAAAGCCATTTAAGGCATGCAACAATGATCGCGTACGAAAAGTCATTTAACATGTTTAAGGGATGCCACTAACATTAGTATTTAGATTCAATGTTTTCTGTGTTATCAGTAACCCTCTATCATGAAAGTCATGATTTAGTTAGTAAATGCCTGGTTGAAATAAGATAACAGAGGGAACGGAATCTAACAAAACCTAGTCAAACACCTCAACATTGAATTGAATGACCGGAGCACATAAACAAATCTGAATCATGATAATATATACCTTTATCATAAAGGTTTTGTATCAAAGATGTATGTATTTAATGGTCATTGTTAAATATTTTGCCTATAGTAACGGGGTTTCTATTATCCGAACGAGCATAGTGTTTAAATATATTTCAAAACCATGTCTGTAGTAAATGACTGTTTTGACTATTTGTCACTTACAATAAACGTAAATAATACTTACACAGCAGATCTCTTTTCCTTTCTGAAAGACGAAACAGATCAATGGTGTCAGTTTCACATGTATAAGTGACAGATTCCCAAACAAATATACTGATAGATGTGTTGTCGTTTACTCAGATAGCATTTCCAAAGCAAAACAGATGGTTTCGAATACAAATGTGGTTGATATACTTCAGTATACCACCTATTGTTGAATTATATTGTGAGTTGACCACTCAAAATCGTTATGGACAAAGATAACATTATTATGATAACATTAACGGCATTACATTTTCTGCATCAAACAAGAATTTTGTTTTGCATGCACACGTATAAAAATTGCGGTTTTTATCCAACGCAATCATAGGTTTGAACGTTGTTTTCAATTATAGACTTGTTTATATTTTTTCGTTTGGGCTTGTATTATATTTGCCTTTGGGTTTATATGATCTGTTCATTCTATTTTGACTCCTCAGAATTCAAGAGTCTATCATAAATTGAGGCAAATAGTATGACTTTCCAAACACCGTTTCTATTCATAACATCATTGAAGAGAAATTAGTATTTAATTTATAATTAAGATCCATTTATTACATCGGTGATCCGTTTATTTGGCAATCGCCAATGGCAGTAAGCAGGGTTTAAGAACATTTGTTCGTTTTGTTAAAATATACTTTATCAATTTCTTGGTTTTTTCGAAATTGTTGTTTGTGCTGTATTTAGACCCCTCTAACAAGAATTTTGTTTTGCATGCACACGTATAAAAAATGCGGTTTTTATCCAACGAAATCATAGGTTTGAACGTTGTTTTCAATTTAGACTTGTTTATATTTTTTCGTTTGGGCTTGTATTATATTTGCCTTTGGGTTTATATGATCCGTTCATCCTATTTTGACTCCTCAAAATTCTAGAGTCTATCCTAAATTAGGGTAAATCGTATGATTTTCCAAATACCGTTTCGATTCTTAACATCACTGAAGAGACATTAATTGTCGAAATCCGGATATGGTGTACAAAAACCTTTGCACCTTTGTTTGCGGTATACCATCTTTTTCGCAAGTTTATTGTTTTCTGTTTAGTATTTAATTTATAATTAAGATCCATTTATTACATCGGTGATCCGTTTATTTGGCAATCGCAAATGCCAGTAAGCAGGGTTTAATAACATTTGTTGTCCGATCTGTTAGTCAAATGCGTTTTGTTAAAATATACTTTTCACTTTTTTGGTCTTTTGGAAAATGTTGTTTGTCCTGTATTTAGACCCCTCTAACAAGACTTTTGTATTGCATGCACACGTATAAAAATTGCGGTTTTTATCCAACGCAATCATAGGTTTGAACGTTGTTTTCAATTTTGACTTGTTTATATTTTTTCGTTTGGGCTTGTATTATATTTGCCTTTGGGTTTATAAGATCCGTTCATCCTATTTTGACTCCTCAAATTTCAAGAGTCTATCCATAATTGAGGTAAATTTTATGACTTTCCAAATACCGTTTCGATCCCTAACATCACTGAAGAGACATTTATTGTCAAAATCCGGATATGGTGTACAATTTTTTGCACCTCATATTTGTTGTATACCATCTTTTCTACAAGTTCATTGTTTTCTGTTTGGTATTAAATTAATATTAAGATCCATTTTGTTTAAGATCTGGTGATCAATTTATTTGGCAATCGCCAATGGCAGTCAGCAGGGGTTAAGAACATCAGTTGTTCGACCTGTTAGTCTAATGCGTTTTGTTAAAATATACTTTTTCACTTTTTTCGATCTTTTGGAAATTGTTGTTTTTGCTGTATTTAGACCCCTCTACCAAGAAATTTGTTTTACATGCACACGTATAAAAATTGCGGTTTTTATCCAACGCAATCATAGGTTTGAACGTTGTTTTCAATTTAGACTTTATATATATATATATATATACATAATTACTCTAAATACCAGCACAACAATGTTAAATCTGCAAATTTGCGGAAGCAACATTTTTGTTCTTCCCTCGCCGGAATTCGAACTCATGTTAATGGGATATCGTGACAACACCACCTGCACTGTGTCCAGCGTTCTAGACTACAGGGCCACCTAGACTGAACTAAACATTCAGCTTTCGGTGGCCTAGTGTTACATTTCCTCGTCAGTAGAATTTAGAGTTGTAACACAGTACATGATATATTAGGCATGAAGATGGAATTGATTGCAGATTAGCTAAATTATCTGTCGTAAAGGATCGTAAGATGTAGTCACAGAAATAATTATTTGGTAAGAACGTCTAAAGAAGTAACAACTTTATAACAGATCCATCTATACCAGTGAAGGAGCTGCACGGCTGAAAACACATATCATATTCATAATTACTCTAAATATCAACACAACAATGTTAAATCAGCAAATTTGCGAAGGCAAATTTTTGTTCTTCCCTCGCCGGGATTCGAACTCATGCTATTGGGATATCGTGACAACACCGCCTGAGCTGTGTCCAGTGCTCTAGACCACAAATATATATATATGTATAAGTGTTGATGAATATGGTGTTGATGATTATATTATGTTTATTGTGAAATTTCAGTTTCAATGCTATATTAAATACATTTTGGATTTCAAAATTGTTGTTCAAATTTCTAGCAAAGGGGAATAGCTGTTGTTAAAAAAGTTCCTAAATTGATAAAATACAATAGATAGATACAGACATATGTTGGTTAAGACTTGGTCGAGTATGGTTCAGACTAGGTCGAGTATTGTTCAGACTAGGTCGAGCATTGTTCAGACTTGATCGAGAATAGTTCAGACTACGCTCGAGTAATATCAAGTAAGTTTCACACCAAGTCAGACTGGTCGAGTAAAAATCAGTACAGTCGAGTAAAGCTATAGGCCATTTCAGATTTTTTCTGGTTTGTAGTGTATGTTGCTAATATACTATAGATATACATATTTACGTCATGTCCATATACAAAATATTAAGGAACTTACCCACACCCATCACATCTGTACAGGTATTTTCCTTCCTCTTTTGGTTTCGTATCCTGTACGTAATCACTGTAAAAAACAACACAATTAATTAAAATAAAATTAAACTCTTTTAAAGTTGACGATATAAATACAAGGTAGCAATGAATTAATGACATTCTTATCTATATCCAAAATCCTTATAGACCTATTTCTGCTTTGCATATACTTTTCCCTCCTTTTCCCCGTCTTTCTTACAGCAAAAAACCGCATGAACTGATGAAGTCTTTAGATTAAACAATATGCAGAACAGTTTAATTGAAGAAGCTATATATAAATGCAATAGTAGTATACCGCTACTCAATAGTCATAAATCGATTTAACTGAAACAAATCCGGATCACAAACCAATACTGAGGAATACACATCAACCATAAGAGGAAACAAAACGGAACAACAGAAACACTGAACTGTCACAAAAACAAACGCCAACATACATAAAAACGGACCATGTGATACCAATTGCCTTATTCCTGACTTGGTACAGGACATTTTAAGAAAAAATGAAGGGTTGAACCTGGTTTTATGGGTAGCCAAACCTCCTGCTTATATATCAATGTTAAAAATACCGCTAAAATGCAACATTACGTGACAGGAATACAGTACAAATACATGCAAGAACATTCAGTACAGAAAAATGCATATTCAAACAATACAATAGCCCATCCCAACATGTACACAACAGAATAACAACAAACATCTAAGATTAATTTACCACAGAACACAAATACAGCACAATAGAATAATGCACTGTGCGTCACACGAATGTATCAAGGCCACAACAAGTGACGTCACAGGTAAATTTCTAAAAATACAATATGAAATTGGGATTAAGTTAGTGATGGTGTTATTTGATGTATTTACTAACCATCACAAGAATATTAATATCAAAATGTATTAATTACGATTATTCCAAACATTATAAAATTAACTGGTAGTGGTCTGTTAAGTTCATTCAATGATAATATACAAACAAAACAATTTTACTAACTTCCTTCGCTATTCGTGAATGTTACTGCTAAAGTCGTTGACCCCATTATCAACAGTCGATTGTGAATGTGACTGCTAAAGTCGTTGACCACTTTATCAACAGTCGATTGTGAATGTGAATGCTAAAGTCGTTGAACCCTTTTTTACAGTCGATTGTGAATGTGACTGCTAAAGTCATTCACCCCTTCATTAACAGTCGATTTTGAATGTGACTGCTGAAGTCTAGACACATTTATCAACAGTCGATTGTGAATGTGACTGCTGAAGTCTTTGACCTCTTTATCAACAGTCGATTGTGAATGTTACTGCTGAAGTCGTTGAACCCTTCAGCAAACAGTCGATTTTAAATTATCTTGTGAATCGAGAATATTTTAAAAAGAGGTGGAAAATATCAAAGAGGACATTCAAACTCATACGTCGAAGACATACGGGGAACACTATGGCAAATAATGAAAATTGACGAAAGGACAAACAACAGTTAACATAAAACTACATATACACAATTTAAAGAAGACTGCGTAACATGACTTGATAATGTCTTTTGAAAACAGTATAGTGTCCTTAGCTTATATAATGCACAATTGCCTTACTAGTGCGGATAATTATGATGAATGCCTGTTACATTCAATATCATGGTTATATCGTAAATTTAAAGTATCAATAGGTTCTAAATCTTTAACTAGACAAGCAGAAACATTTTAACGAGCAGTATATTTACGAAAATCAAATACAACCTAATTTTAAAGCTATGGAAAATAAATTACGATATACGTTTGCACATCATTATCTGTATTAATTACTTAAACGCAATCCTACTCGAGTTAGTGCTTGCTAACGTATGCAACGCATTACAAATGACATTGTAGAAGATGTAAATCAAGCAAAACAAAATATCTTAAAACAAAGTGTGAGTTGGTGATATATGTATCAAGAAAATTAAGCAAATACGGCTTAAAAAAACTGCTACTTAGGAACAATGTAATGAAGATAAGTACATACATGTAACTAGTAAATGTGTCAACAGTAAAACGGTGCACAATATAAGAAACAAATTTACCCAGAATCATGGAGAGAGGGGCTTCATTTCGTAAAAAAAAATAATTAAGGATTACATGAAGATAATGTGTAATTCACTTAAACATTTGACGAAAAGTTTACATTGTTTAAAGCGTAAATTTAACACTGTAAAATATCCAACATATTGCCCTACCTCTTTGTTTTAGGTACTTCTTTCTCTCTGTTTCCGATATGTTGTGTACGTACTCCACTGTCAAAATAAAAATGAAGTATTTACATATGATTCCTTAAATGCATAATATCAAAACAAAACATTTTAAAAATGAGGAAAACAGATATTCTGTGACAGTTTGAAAACAAGTATTCCTGAATAACTTCATACGTTTACGTAGTGTCGAGTGCATTGTTTATACAATTTAAAATGTGCATTGTCATAGACCACATGTCTATTTACTAGAGTCCATTGTTATTCCATTATAAACTATACATTGTTAATGACCACATCTTTTTATTGAATGAATTGTCTCCCCTGCGTCTGTCATGAGATTCAATTCAGAAATACATTGATATTCAAAAACGAATATTAATTATGCAAAAATACATGTCACTTTCAAATAATGGAGTTATTTTAAAGCATGTATTACGACTGCAGAATGCAGTCTACAAAACAACACTCTTCTCAGGTATTTCAGTGGATTTACCTTATTTTGAAGATGCCAAACAGTTGTTTGATGTCGTTATCTGTTACAGGCTTAGCAGTATACTGTATGTTCGGAAATTCGGGTATAGGCTCTATTGTCAGCTTTGCAATGTCATCTGTAAGCTTCTGTAACGACTGTAACAATTTGCCATCGTTTCGTGTCTTGTCGAGTTCATATTTCTTCTTTTCTAAGTCGCTTCCCGCCTTCAAATCTATTTTAGTATCTGCTATGATGTTTGTCAATTTGTCCTTTTCCTTCCTGGATTGATCCTTGACCAATGCAATCATCTGTGTGATACATGTATCAATCATAGCCTTTATCTTTGTACCTTCTTCTGTAATAGCTTTGACTACTCCTTCAACCTTCACATCAAATGCCTTTAAACCTTCTTCCATCGTTTTAATGTTTTGAGTTGCCTCATGTACCTTACTACGCAGGTCTTTTGTATTCTTCTCCTTCATCTGTGTTATGTTGTCCATAAGCTTTGAAAAGGCATGCCCTGTGTGACTGCCAGTCACACAACTACTGCACACTACTAAATTACATGTTTTGCATACAAAACTTACGTCTTCGTTGTGTTCCTTACATTTCGATTTACCTTCCGGGATAATGTCCGAGGAAGACTGAAACTGGTGATTCTTTGTTACTTTCTGTCTTTTATGAAAGGTTCTACAATTTTCACAAAAGTATTGTTCACACTCTAAGCAATATTGGGATCCATAGGCACTGACACAAATTTCACAAGTTTTAGAGGCTGCCTGTGCCATTTTGTCGCGTATCGTCCTCAATGTATAATACACAGGTAAGGTAAAAAACCAATGACAACAACGTTCTACATTTAAATCAAATAATGGTTATATACGTATGTCGTGCATTTAAAGGTAGAACTGTAAAACATAAAACTTAAGTTCTAATTTGAATATATTATGAATATTTTACATATAAGACTTCATTTTATTGACTACTGTATAATTGGCTAGTGTACGGTTTTACTGATGATATTGGTTATTGACCTGGATTATTGACTTGGTATTTATAATTTAGATAAAAAAAAAAAGAAGTATAACATTATCCTAATAATGAAAAGAGTATGTTTAGATATCACACTATGGGAAATAGTATATTGTAAGTAAGATGTGTACGAGATTCTAAAAAGATTTAGGTCCATCAACATACTTTACATAGCATAAGTTTTTTTTGTTCGTGAGTCCAGGTGTTTTCATTTTTATTTGTTTATATTTGTAATAAACTCTACAGTCTAATTAAATCATATCTGCTCAAAAAATGATTAATTGAAATGGATTTACGGTTGATATTACTGTTATATTAGCCGTTGCCAAATATAAAATTGAGAGAAAAACACGATACATATGAGGGTCACAAACACTTCTTACAGATAACAAAGAGCATAGTCTGGAGTTATTTTTAACGGATTCGAAATATCCAAATAACTATTTTGAAGTTGCCACCATAAATTGTCATCAAACTTTGAAACGTACCTATACACATGATATGAAAAAAAGTGGATATTCATACACGTTTATGAGTAAATGTATACCATAATTCTCATTTACGAATGAGTTAATATATGAAACGAATTAATTGGCTAGCTTATTTATAACTTGTCGAGAGTGACACTTTAGATGTTTCAGGAGGGTTAGCAGTTCTGGCTACACGGTTAGCACCTTTGAATCCAAGCTACATGTAAGATCAATGCTTTAAAAATAAGGAAAAGATACCAAGTATAATCATTTAACAGTAATTCAATAAACAATGACAACACTGCATGGTAAACAATGAAAACGACCAAATAAACAAATATCACTAACAGCACATTATATAGAACAATAAAGATTTAGCAAAACGAACCGTACGAGAAACCCGAGGTGAAATACTAGTATAATTGCAATCTCAGTTTGAAGTTATTCACTTCCGGTGGAAGTTGTAAAGAAGGCATTATTATAATATTAAATGTAGATTCATAACATTGATGTTTTGTTTTATAGACTAAAAGGAAACTAATTATTATTCTAATGATTGCTTTAAAGGTCAACAGTTGGAAGGTTAATTAAGATAGTTCATCTACAGTTATCACTAGCCTATCAACATTGTTGATGTAAGCTCGAAACCCGCTTCGGTAAGACAAGTTTGACGCCTGTCTTAATTGACTCTGAATGCTGCGGCTCCCCACCCACCCAACCATCAAAACCTGACGGCCGTGGTTAAGCCAGAAGTGATATGCTGATCACCTCCTTTCAATTCAATAATTGTATATAACACAGAACAAATAAAAACCTGTGCATCTTCTAAAACAAATAAAAGTCTTCCAGGTCTATAATTATATATATATTCGTCTAAATAACAGCCCAACAATGTTAGATCTGTAAATTTGCGGAAGCAAATATTTTGTTCTTTACTGGCCGGGATTCAAACTCATGCTACTGAGATATCGTGGCACCAAATCGTCTTGCACTATGTCCGGCGCGCTAGACCACTCGACCATCTAGGCTCAATAAAAAATCAAGCTTTCGGTGGCCGGGTGTTACCTTTCCTCCTCAGTTTTTTTATCTAGCGTCGTAACACAGTACATGATATATAGGCAAAAAGATGGAATATTACAGATCAGCTGAATTATCTATCTTAGAGGACCTTACAAATTAATGACGGATTCAGTCACAAAAATAACTATATTATAAGTACGTCTGAAACAGTGACAACTCTACGACAGATTGTATCCATCGGATCACCAGTGATGGTGATACAAGGCTGAAAACACATTATGTATATATAATTCGTTTAAAAAACAGCCCAACAATGTTAGATCTGTTAATTTGCGGAAGCAAATTTTTGTTCTTCTCTCGCCGGGATTCGAACTCATATATAAATATTAACAAATCAGATACACATTCATTAAAGTCCTATTCATGTAAATGAAATCATAATATATCTTAAGATTTAAAATCTATTCAAGTGTGTTATTACAAACACAAATTGCAGGCTAAAATAGATGAAACGTTGTGCATTTTTTTATGTATTTTATTGCAATAGTGTATGTTATCATACTGGAGGAATACAATCT